GGGGAGGGGGGAACAGGTGAAGGGCGGAAGGGGGGGAGCATGTGGAGGAGGGGGCTGAGGGGTTGCTGGGGGCGGCAGGGCACCAGATCGCAGTCCGGGAGGGCTCCGGACTGCTCGACGCGCCGGGGACACGCAGGGCGCGCGCATGCCACGCCTGGATTGGGGCGCGGCGGCGTGCTGCAGAAGCAGAGGCTCCAAAGAGCACATATACCACAAGCGCATCCCGAACGATGGCAGTCCAACAATGCCGATCCACAAAACCCAAGTAATGCAAGTGGCCCCACAGCCGGTGACCCTCCCCCCGTGCACACGCACCTCGCGGCCGGTGTGCCCGCGGCAGCAGCCCGGGCAGGGCTTGAACAGCCAGGAGCACGCCACAAGCGCGTGCTGCCAACCCAAGCCATCCTCATCGGCGTCTACGGCGCCGCCAGCCTCGGGCTCGACGGCGGCTGCGGCCTCGGCATCGGCGGTGTGTGCCCGGCCGAGGTGGGGCTGCTCGCAAACCACCATGGCGGCCGCCGCCTCCTGCTGCTGCTGCTGCTGCTCCTGCTGCTCTTGCTGCTGCGGGTGCAGGGGCGACGGACGCGGCGTGGAGGCCTCATCAGCGAGCAGCGCTGCAGCACAGTGCTGGTCCGCCGCCGCCATGCTGCTGGCGTGGCTGTGGCTGGCGCTGCCACTCACGCTCAGCCGCGGCTGCCGGCGCGACGCCGCGGCCGCGGCGAGAGAGAGGTGGGCGAGCATGGGCTTGAACAGCGGCAGCGGCGCTGCGGCGGTCAGCGCTGAGGGGGCGGCGGCAACGGCGGCGCTGGGCAGGCACAGGGCATCAGCAGGGGGTGCGGCCGATGGCTGCGGCCCCATGAAGGGACTGTTGGAGCGGGACCCCGCCGGAGGAAATGCGGCATTGCCGGCCGCGACGGCCATGAGTTGGCGGTGCAGCCCGTGGGATAGGGGCTGCTGCTCGCCGCCCGCAGGCGGTGGTGAAGTCAGCATGGGCGCGAGCGGGCCGCCTCCAACGTGCGTCTCGCTGCGGTCGGGGTGCAGTATGTTGGTCCCTGACACTTTTTTGTGATCAATGAGCACCTGCGGGGCGGGGGACGGGTGTCGTGGGCCTCGCGGGGTTGGTCGCAATGAAGGGTCACGAGCCCCCGGGACGCCGCATGCACGACCACAGCATGCAGCTGGCCGAACTGTCTTCGTTGCGTTCTCGCGTCGACAAGTGCGTCCCAACGGGGGGTTGGCTGTGAGCGCGCGGAGGGCCCCGACCGTCCTCACGCACCCGAGCAGCTACAGGTGGTGAATGACTCACTATGTGGTACCAATGGGGCTCTCTTGCTGGGTCTTGGGCGCGGAAGCGTTGCGTGGGAGGGCCTCAGGTATTCGGACAACTTGGGCGGACCGGAGAAGGTTCTGTGTGCAGAAAAAAGCTAAGTGTACGTTTGAACAATGAACAACGTAGCCAGCGTGCGGCGATGATGAGTGCTCATGAAATCAATTCTTGCGAGGCGGGAACCCCACACTCATCACCGCCTTGCCTTGACCAGAGCAGGCTTCTCGAGCGTAAAAAAAGTTTCAAAACCTGACATCACTCGGGCACCGAGACAAGGGTGCGAATCATATGGGACGGGGGGCGGCGTTGACCAGGATCCTGCCGGGCAGAGTGATGCGCATGGACCCCAACACAACAACCTTCCCGGGCGGGGGCGGTGGAGCTTCATCGAGTGTCAGGTAGTGCGCCCGCAACTTGAAAGTGGTTGCGACTGCCCAACCAGGCAGAGGGCTGCCCCCTGCCCTGCACTGGGCGGATTGTTGGCTGCGTTGAGTGTGACAAGGTGTTGTGCTGTTTCCGGACTTTCCGCCCCAGCGCACGTGTGTTTCGATTACAGCACCCATTCCTCCTCGCCCTGCACTTGCGCATCCCTAATATGACACAATTGAATGCCGACCGCAGGCAAGAAGCATGCTGCTTTGTGGCCAAGCCACCATTGATGTGACATCATCAACCCCGGTGGTCAACCACCTGGCCGACTGCAAGCACACCGCATTTTTGCATGCTAAAAACTGCGCCTTCAAGCAAAACGTACGCACATTACAACTCATTGTCACTGCGGGTCAGTCAAACATGGGGGGTGATGAACGCCCGTGTCAGTCCGCTGGTTTGGGGGGAGTGTGGCGTTGCGTTGCACCAGCGCGCTGCAAGTTGTCACCAGGATTCCAACCAATCGCGGCACACCTGGGCCCAGCACAACCCTCCACACCCTTGGACCCCTCGAATGGCGCCCAGGCGACGCAGAGCGGGACATAGCATTCCCCGAGGGACTCGACCGTCACACCTGTGGGGCGATCTGCGCCAGAGCGGACGCCGCTAAGAGGAACTGACCCACGCAGAAGCTGCTTGTCGCGTTGGCGCCGCCGCCGCCCCCCGGCCGGTCCCCAACCGGCTGGCAGTAACCCACGAGGCCGCTTTGCTGCAGCGACGTGCCCGACAGGCAGCCCCACGCGCGCTCCAGCGCGGGGCCGTACTCCGCCGCATCCAGCACCCCTGCGCGCACGCCCCAGGCCATGCCGTAAGCGAACAGCGCCGTGCCCGTCGTCTCGGGCGCGGGGTCCGCCTCGGGCCGCGTCAGCGAGACCGGCCAGCAGCCGCGCGCGCCCTGCAGCCGCAGCAGGCGCGCCGCCTGGCGCTTGAAGACGCCCTCGTAAACCGCGCGGTGGGGGTCGGCCGGGCCCGAAAACTGCAGCGCGGTCACGAGCGCCCCCATGGCCCAGCCGTTGCCTCGACTCCAGTAGACGCCTTCAGGCACGTACGCCTGGCCCCACTTTGGGGGGTCCCGGTAGAAGAGGGAGTCGCGCTGCGACCAGAACTGGTAGCCCTGGCTTCCCGCCGCAAAGTCAAAGTTCTTGAAGGCCTGCTGCGCGTACCGCGGGTCGCCGGTGATGTTCGCGATTCGCGCGTACACGCTCATGCCCTGCAGGGGCGGGCGCACGTGGGGAAGGGGGAAGGGGGGGGCGCGACGCGGTGGCGGCGAGTGGAAAGACGCGTTGGGGAAAGAAGCCATGCATGCGCCTGCGCAGTCCGGCACGGGCGGCACAGGCGGCATGCCGGCAGAATCACCGGCGTCGATCAGTGCTGGAGGGGTGCGGCCCCCAGGTGGCCTCCTGCATCACGGCCGGCCCCACCATGAAAAGCGTGTCGACCCAGCGCCAGCGGTCGGCGTCGTAGGGCGGCCGGGCGGCCATCTCTGCTTCATAGTGCGCGATCGTCGGGGCCAGCCACGCGGCGTTGCGCTCGGACGGCGGGGAGGTAAGGTACAGGTCCGCATAGGAGGCCGCGCAGATCTGGGGCGGCGCGGGCGCACGGGGCCGTATAGGGCTGTGACCGGGGCGAGAGTGGCGGCAAGAGCGCCCCGCAGGGTCCGGGTGACACTGCGTCAACAACGCCGTCTCGTAGGCGCGCGAAGACGCCGCACCTGGTTGTCGGGGTTTCCAGCGTCTGAGTTGCAAAAGTCCCAGTGGTAGCGCTCGCCGAAAGACCGCATATACTCGCGCAGCGAGGGGTCCCCAGTGGCGCGGTGCAGCGCAGCGACGCCTGTCATAAATGTCCCATACAGCCAGTCACACGATGTGTGATTGCGTCCGATAGAAGCCGTATAGTAATCAAATGCTTTTCGAGCATCTCTGAGAATGGCCGCCTTCGGAGGCAGCGTCGCAGTGGCGGATGCAACCGCTAGCGCGACAAGAGCAATAACACGAATGCTAGCCATGAAGCAAAGCATAAAATTTTACCAAGTCCAAAGTTTGATGGTCGAGTGCGGCCACTTGTGCGCAGTGCGCTGAGCTCAGTCCAAAGCGAGTGCTCAATTCTGCTGGAGATGGACAGACGAAGCCATCTCCTTGCCTTTCCCATTGGTCTGTGTGCTAGCGCTGAGGTTCGTACCATGCCCAGCATGTGAGAAACTCGAGCATTCCTTGATAGTAATGGGCTGCGACACCCCCTGCACAAGCCGCTGTTTGCAGGCAGCCCAATCCAACAACCTGCGTGACATGTTTTGATATTTGGTCCTCCCGGCGAGCCCAAGCTTCCACACCCTGAACAGGGCGCGACATCGGGCCCCAGGCCGCGCCTGTTGGCACAGTTGGGTGCGCTCAGCGCTGTGTGCTTTCATCGTTTGGACCACTGCCGCGAATGGTGGCAGTCCACCTGGTTACTCTTCCAAACGACAGGCAGGTGGAAGGTGTGCGGCATGTCGTTGACCAGACTGGCCACACAAGCCAGCAATGCCCCCGGCACGCCAGCCTGCGGGTGCGTAAATCTGTATTGATGCTCACACACTACAAGGCCGTAGCAGCCCGAGAAAAACGAGCCAGGGATGTCCAGAAGATGGACAGCCAGGCGGGACTGGACTGGCTGCGGGGAGCAGCAGGCCCTCACCCAGCCAGGTGAGAGCAGTTGCACATTTCACAAGTGGTCACTCGCTAACAGACTGTTGCCGTTGGACCGTTTGACTGAACATGTATGCACAATCTTGGCTGTGACAGCTCGTGAACATGATGCAGGCCTCGCGGCAAACGTGACCGCCGTACAAAACCCAAAACGACAGGCAGGGACGCGTGAGCTGTGCCTGTGTGGCCGCACCTGCGGCACCCTTCCCAGGACCAAGTAGAGCTGTGATCCCTCTACCTCAGGCACCTAGCTGCAGGATCCGGTGCGGCCTTCTAGCCCTGCAAGCGAGCCTCCATGGGGCCACGTAGCTGCAAAACCGCCAGCCCGCAGCCCCTGGGGCCAACTGGCCTGCTGGACGCCGGCCCGCCGACGCTTGCACCAGCGCCGCGCAGGCCACGCCGCGCCGCGCCGCGGCCGCCGGCAGGCACGGCGGCGTCGCCGCCAGCGCCCGGCGCACCGCCGCCTCAATGCCCGCCGCCGCCGCCGACGGCTGCGCCGACGGCGGCGAGGTCCAGCACGCTCACATAGTCCTGCACGAGGTTTCCTATGAAGAGGCGGCCGCCCGACTCCGACACGGCCGACACAAAGGCCACCCTGCTGCCGTCGGGGTCGTGCAGCAGGTGCAGCACCTCCCCATCGCCGCTGATCTGGGGGCGAGCGGGGGCGGCGGTGGCGAAGGCAGGAGCACGGGCACGATTTGAGATTTGAAGGTCGGGGCGGGGGGCGGTTTGAGGGATCGAGATTGGGGGGCGGGACGACGCCAGGGGCACCGGCAAAGGCCTGAGAGGCCTCGGGTAAGGTTGAGCGGCGCGAGCGGCGTCGGCAATGCAACAGCCCGGCCCCGCCCGCCGCCACAAAGGCCCGCGCGGCTCGCGTGCGCGTGCCGGCGCACACGGACCGTCATTCCCCTCTCGGCTCGGCTCCGTCCTCTCGGACCCCACCTTGATTACGGTGCCCCACGTCTTCAGCTTCGGGCGCGCCCATTCGGGCAGCCAGGCAAACGCGGCCCTCACGCCCGGCTCCCGCAGGAACTTAGCAATGGGCGGGACCGGCGACAGCACCGCCACCCAGAAGTTTCCGTCCGACGCGCGGGAGATGCCGTCAGGGACGCCTGGCAAGTGGTCGATGGCGACCTCGGTCTGGCCGGCCTGGGGGGGGGGGGCGGCGCGTGATGTTGGCGTGCGGGCGGCGTTGGGAAAGCACGGGCGTGGGGCGTGTTATGGGGAGCGGAGGCGGCCGGCCCAAGGATTGCAGGAGCACGCAAGCGCAGCGATTCCAAGGTCTTGGGGACTTACGGAAGGCAATTGTGGCTGCCGCACCACCCAGGCGACTGGTCCACCGGAGGTTGCATTATCGATGCCTCCCCACCTGGCACCCATGTTGCCCCCGCTGGCTCCTCCATGGCCCCTGCCCCCCCACCTCTCACACACGCACACGCACCTTTGGCCCCCTCAGCCAGTGCCTGTGCACGCGTATCCGGTTTGTCTCCACCACCATCACATACGACCCGTCCTCTGCCAGCGCGACCCCGTTTGCGTAGTAGAAGCCTTTCGCCAGGACCCGGGTCTCCTTGGTTGCCGGATCGTACGACAGCAAGCGGCCGCGGGGGAGGCCCTGGGAGACATCCAGGAGCCATCCCCTGGGGGAGAGGATGTTTGTGGGTGTGCACGCGTGCGTGTGCATGTGTGTATGTGTGCGCGTGCATGTTTACGTGTTTGTGCATCGTTGCGCGCCTGGAAACGGGCTAGCAAGAATGGGCTGGCAGACGGTTGAAGGGGCCCTTTCAGCTGCCCTTCAAAGGCCGCAACACGGCCTACGCAGAGAACGCCGCCAGCCTGTAGGCCTGCACCCCACACCCGCCCGGCCGCGCCGGCCGGACCGCGTGCTGCCATTAGGCCTTTTGAAAACAGCGCCCTGAGCCCCCTTCCCCCCGCCGGCCCCTCACTTGTAGGTGTCCCAGAACCCCAGGTGGTTCTTCTGCGGCTGGATGTCGGTGCAGCTGGTGAAGTAGATCGTGCCGTCGGGGGCGATGTCGAGGTCATTTGCATACAGGATGTCGCTGCCCGGGTCCAGGGGGGAGCTGGCGCTGACTTGGTTGGTCAGGACCTCCACGCGGCCGCTGGGGCGCTCGAGCTTCAAGAGACCCTGCGTGTGGTTTGTGTGTGTTGTGTGCGTGTCTTTTGTGTGTGTGTGTGTGTGTGTGTGTTTTGTGTGTGTGTAGGCGTTGGCGTGTGTATGTGGGCAAGTGTTTGAAATTCAGATGGAAGGATTAAGAGAGATGAAGTGCAGAGGTGCATTTTGGACGCGGCAAGCAAGAGGGTGCGTGACTGCACGCGAGCCTGCACACGCGCGCATATGTCGTCGCACGCATGCTTTGGGAGCGGTTAGGGGGACACGTGCACCAATAGGAATTGGGCGGATGGCGCGTTCCGAGAGCCGGCGGCAGCAGCCATCTTGCGCCGCCCGCCGCCCGCCACCCAGCCCTGCACGTACGCCAACCGCGGCTCCAGCACGAGGGAGCCCCCACAACCACTCGACCACATGCCCGCCTGGCCGCCCCCCGCACGCGGCCACGGCCGAGGTAGCCCCCGCCGCCGCCGCCGTCGCCGCGGCCGCACCTTGAATGAGTCGCAGACAATCAGGTCGCCCTGCGAATCAAAGTGGTACCCCAGCGGCCGCCCGGGCCCCAGGTCGGCCACCGGCCGCGCGTCCAGCGCGTAGCTGCCGTCCGGCTGAGGGGAAGCTTCCCAGACCTTGTTGAACTTGTCGAGCATGACAAGCTTGCCCTCTGGTGACACCGCCACAGACTCTGCAGGGGGTGCGTGCGTTTTTATAACAGGGAATGGCGGTGTGGAGTGGCAGTGGGGAATGGGGATGGGGAGTGGGGGCTGGGAGGTAAGGTCAGGGAGAGAGGTGAAGTGGGGCCGATGGCAAGGGGAATGTGGGGAGGCGCAGCGTTGCGGAGGTGCGCGGAGTGGGCAAGGCCGCGGCAGTGGAACATCTGGGAGAGACGGGCGCAAGGCAATGCAGGCACGAGCCATCTCGGCTGCCGAGGCTTGGCAAGTTGGCTGGGGCTTCGGTCCCCCTCCCGCTCAACAGGGCGGCGCGCCCACCTGACCCCTGGACCTTGCCCTGAAATAGGCGCGCCGCCTGCTGCAGCTTGCTGTTGGGGGCCAGCACGCCCTGCGTGGAATCGCGCCGCGACGGGGCGGCAGGAGGGGCAGGGCTTTTGGGAAACCGTGCCGTGGCGGCGAGCAGCGGCTGGCGGACTGCGCCGGTCACACGGGTGGCATTCGACGGCCGCCGGGCGCTCGCGGCGCGCGCTCGCGCTCGCGCTGGCCGGCAGCATCACTGGGGTCTCTGGCTGTGTGGGCCGCGCTGCTGCTGACGCACCTCCATAGCCCGGGGCCGCCACGGGAGCACGTCTGCGGGCACCTGGTGCACGTGCTTGCCTGCCGCCGGGTAGGGCAGCGGCACCAGCACCCAGCCTGCGGGCGCGGCACCAGAGGGCGGTTGGGGCGTGGCCGGGAGGCGGGTGGTGCGGCCGCTGCTCGACGCCGACGCCGAGGCAGATGGTGCCCCACTCACCACTTCGTATTGAAAATATCCCCACGATTGATGCCAGGACAAGCCCTACCTTGCTGCCGCTGCCCGTGGCTTGCGCCATGGCAATGCCTCCGGTGCCACCGGTTCTATGCAGCGGAAAACAATGAGCGCGAAAGTTTTGAATTCAAACACGGGTGTCCAGCAATCAAGCATGACACTCTTTGAAGAAACGCACACTTTCTTGCACGACACGGGCCAGGTGGATGGATCTGCAGCGCGGCTGTGTAGCGCGACTGTGCGGCCACAGGGGTTAGTAACATCGCCGCAAAGTGGTGTGCGATTATGACATGGTATGGTGCCTGATCTGTGCGCTGGCGGAGTTGGTCAATGGTGAAGGCACCTGGTCTGGGGTGGTCACACTCGAGTGGACAGTGTACCGAAAGACAAGAAAGTGTAGACAGATCTGCCCTGTCTTCTGCAGCTGGGCTGCGATCAACTAAACGTGAGCTCCAAGGCTATTCAAGGACACTGGCACCTCGCGCAGTGCGGCCACTGTGAGGTGGCCGCCCGCTGCTGTCCGACCGCCCAGCCCTTACCGCTGCGCTTGGATGTGCGCAGCAACTGCATTCCCCCCAGTGCCTGACGCACCCCTTTGTCTTCATGCTCTACTGGAACCAGCATACATGCTGTAACGCCCCGAGATTTCGCCTGCTCGCGTGCCAGGTAGTGCGACACTCTGCAGTCTTGCCAGCCTGCGAGTGTTCTCGTGTGTATCGAAGCGGCTACTCCCCTCGGCGGCCCAAGCAAAACTTGAGGCCCAGCCGTCGCCTCACACGCGTCACGTGTGTACTGTTTGCCCACTGCCCTTTCAACATCGCGAAAAGCAATATGGTCCCCTTTGGAATTGAAGCACGGGTGCAGGCGTCGGCGGATCACGAAAAGTTACCCGCCAGCAGCCTGCCAATCAGAGCGACGCAAGCCAGCAAGCAATGCATGCGAACGCTGTTGCAATCAACACGCCTTCCGTATATCTTCGCGCCGCGCTCATTTAGCAGGCTGGCAGGTGGCCACCAGCGTGGCAAGCATCCCTGCACGCGCAGTGCTGCCCAAACGTCACTCCTACGCCTGCTGCGCGCGCAGTCGGTAGGAGTGGCGTACCAGCCACGTCCGTGCTCGCTGCGGCGCCTGCTGCACACGCAGGTGCCAACAATGCAGGCTTGCCCGCCGTGGCGCTCAAAGCGGACGACAGCGCATCCCTCACTGAGCCCGCGCTCCCCCAGGAGGGGCCACTCAGCAGCTTGGCGCCTCTGCCAGGTTGTTGGTGCAGGCCTTGGCCTTGTGCTCGCCCTTCAGGGATTGCCAGCAGATGCGCAAGACAGAGATTTGAGACTTTGAGCGCGAATTCTTCCTGCAGATGTTGACTCATAGGTACTCTGCCCGGGTGGGGGGGGGTTGCCTTTGTTGCCATTGTAGCCAGCACAGGTGCCGCCGTCGCCGTGGGGGTGCAGGCTGCTTGCACGCGGGGGTTGCCGTCAGAACGCGGGAAGGGGACCTTGCGTCCGCCAGGGCGGGGCAGCCGAGGCACCTTGGATCTGTGACCCTTGCTGTGGCCGCTCGGAGACCGCGGCACGCGCGGCCTCAACACCTCTTGCGGCGCAGTCAGCGTCGCGTTGGCGCAGATGACCGCATCCCTGAACGGCGCATACGCCTTCCAAAAGTTGTGATGGATTCGGAAGGGTCAAACAGCAAGCGTTGCTTGAGCCTTGGGTGCAGGCGTGCATGACAGCGTGTGCACTGCTCCTCCATTGTTCCATCCAATACCTCGAGGCCGGCCCTCCTCACACTAATGAGTGGAAGTGTCAAGAGGCGCCAGGACTGCTGCAGGGTCTACCACTTTGCGCGCACGCGCCGTGTGCGGCCAGGGAAGGTGTAGCGCCGCTTCATCGCGGCCGCAAAGTCGTCCCATGTGGGCTCACGCCCCAGGCGTGCGCGCTCCCTCCACCAGAAGCGGGCGGCGCTGCCCAAAAGGTAGGTGGCTGCTGCACCGACCAGAGCGTTCTCCGCGCAGTTGCCCAACTGCAAAAAGCTCTGCATACGCGACAGCCAGTCCTCGACTGGCATGTCCCGCTGGGGCTCCCCCCCAAACACTGGCGGTCTGTTCAGCAAGGAGGGGTGCACCCGCATGTAAGGGCGGCCCCCGCTTGGGGCGGACCCTGGGTTGGCAGGCGGGGGCGGCGGAGGAGCCCTCCCACATGGCGCGCCACCACCGCCGCCTGGCAGGCCGCCGCCTGGCGAACCTCCGCCCAGGGGCCCTGGCTCAGGCAAATTGCCGTTGCCCGAGCCACATCCCACATTATCAGTAAAACCAGCCCGGCTGGGATCTGAGCCGCCTGCACCACCGGAGCCACTGGCGGGCGCACAGCCGCCCGCCCCCGAGGCCTCGACGCCCCTTGCGTCGCGGCCACCACCACCTTGCATCTCACGCAGGGCTGGCAAGGCGGAGGCAGGTGCCTTGTCCTGCAGCAGGGCAAGCAGAACCTCCAACGCGCCCTGCTCACCAGAGGTGCGCTGCAGCTGCGCAACCGCAGCGGTCAGGGACTCGCGCGTGGCGACCGCGACCGCCGCGAGGCCCAACACCGACTCTTCGGCCACGCGCGGGCGCTCCCGCAGCTCGGCCGCCTCGGCCCGGGCTGCGGCGGCGCGCGCCGCCTCGGCCCCGCACCTGGAACGCAGCATACCGCAATCTGTCTCGGCGCGGCGGTTGCCCTCGGGGGCCGTCTCGAGGGATGCTTGGGATCGGGGGTTGCTCAGCGAGGCCTCCCGATCGCCGGCCGCCTCGGTTTCGGCAGCGCCAGCGGCAGCCTGGTTGGGGATGCCCTCGGCTGCCAGTAGCGCCGCGCTGAGGGCAGCCAGCCGGGCGCGCAGGGCACCAAGCTGCGCCTGCATTCCGTCCAACAGGTCGCGCTCGGCGTCGACAGCAGACTTGGGGGGTTCTCCATCACCCTGAGCCGCGTTCAGAGGGGCAGGGTCAGGGACAGGGGACGTTCAGCTGTGGGGTCTTGGGCCATCAGTTGAGGTGGGGATGTTGGAGGGCTTGCTCATGCTGTGCAGCACACGTCGGAACCCTCCCCGCCGCAGGTGTGCACATGCCACGCAGCCAACGGGCGCTTGCTGCGTTCTCACTGCGGCAACATGCCGCAAGTGGATTGCGTTAGCCTTGTTTGGGGTGTGCGGTCTCCCTGGCACTCACCCCGTCCCCGGGGCAAACGTTTCACCAACAAGGCTTCCGTGCACCCCTTCGCGCGTCCCTTCGCTCGTACCTGCCCTCCCTCGTCCTGCAAGTCGTGTTTCACGCGCTTGGACGTGTCATAACCCAAGGGGCCCTCGTCGCTGGAGCTGGAAACGCCTTGACGACGACGACCAGGCATGGGCACCAGCGGGAGCACACACAACAGCACATGCAACGAGACGGATCTGCTAGCTGTCCTCTGCAGCTCTCCGCGAAGTACCTGACTGAATCAGGCCCTCCACGGGCGTTCAAGGGCAGGACCCCATGCCCTGCCTGGTCCCCTGCCCACGTCGCTGGCGTCCTGGCAATGACTTTCATCGCCTGTCCTGGCCACTTCAACAGAACTCGACAGTGCAGCATTGGAATTACCGGAGCTGAGTGTGCCGGAGGTCATGACATCACATGGTTAGAACGCATCGATTGCATGCCCACTCTCGCTGCCAAGGGTCCCTCCAAAATCGCCACGCTCAGGCATCCGCAGCGCCAAGACTTTGGCCAACATGCAGGAAAATCATTAGTATATAGACATGCAGACACAATCTACACATCCGCGCCATCAGGCCCTCGTCGCTCCCCTGGTCCCCGCGCCCGCCCTGCCCCCACCCCCTCCCCCGCCGTCCGCCGTCAATGCCGAGTGAGCCCCGCCCGCCGCTCCGGACTAAAATCTGGCGACGCCGGCAGCGACGGGACCGCGGTGTGCAGCAGATCGGTCAGCGTCGCAACCTCGGACCGCAGCGAGGTTATCGCCGACAGGATCTCCGCCAGATCCTGTGACTGCTGCGCGCTGCCCGCGCCGCCGCCGGGCGCGCCGGACGCGCCGCCGCCGCCGTTGGCCGCGGGCGAGGGGCCGGGCTCGGCGGTGGCGCGGCGCCACATGTGGGGGGTGCCGACGGCGTCGAAGGACTTTGGGTCCAGGCGGAGCACGTGCTGGGAGTCAAAGGGGGGGGGCGATTGGTGTGGGAGTGGGACGAGACCGGTTGCGAAAGGAATGGGATAAGATGGGACGGGAGGCACAGGGTGGGACGGGATGAATTGGGATGGGATGGCAGCCATGAGCCCTGATGCAGGCTGGTTTGTGGCCAGACTGTTCTCCTCCAAGTCAGGACCGCCACGCTGGAGCCTGAGGCCGGCGCCCCCCGCCCCCCCGCCAGCTGCCACCTGGCCAGGAGGTTGCTGACTGTTCTTCCCAGTAACACGGGTGAACCCGACAAGCCTCCCTTCAGGGCAAGTCAAAGATACGGTGGTCGACATCACAACCCTTGCCGGCCGACCACATCGCCCTCATGTGGCCAACACGCTCCTGGGTCACACCCTCGCTCCCACCCGCCCTGACACATACACGCGTGCGCGCGGGCATGCACACGCAGCTGCAATTTCATCTCGCGCGAACACAACACACACACACACACACACACACACACACGCGCGCACGCACACACACATACACACACACACATTCCACAGAACTCTCACACACTGTGTTGTCCTCACCACAAACTCTGGATAGTAGCTTTTGGGCAGCAGCCGCTCCGCCCAGCTGGGGATGGCAGACTCCAGCTCGTCGATCACCTGCGCCACGCACGAACGGCGGGGGCGCCACACGCGCGACGAGGCCCGCTCTTTTTTCCGCGCACTCAGCTTGAACGAGCACACATCAGCATGACATCACCGCCGGGCCGGCAAGGGCGCCCAGGCTCGGGGGCAGCCGCGCCCTCTGTTGCGGCGGCCGGCTGGATGCAGCCCCAGCCCGAGCACGAATGGCAACTGATGGTGCGCACTCCGGGCGCAGGCGCGGCCAGACGCGGAAGGGCTCGGACGCGCATGGGTCCGGGCGGCCCGCCACGCATGCTGAGTTTGCACTCGCATCGCACGCACCTGAGCGCGTGACAGCAGGGCCTTGAGCTCCTCGTGCTGGGTCGCCTTTGGGCAGAGCGAGGGATAGCATAGTGTGGTTTGAAGGTCAGCCGACGCAGGAAGATTTGCCGTGGGTCCCACACGCCGTATGAGGTTTATAGCACGGTTGAGCACGCTGGCGCCAAGCCGCCGCCGGCCTGCCGCGGGCGTCGAGCAGGGGTGCCCCCGCCCCTGGGCAGCTGGCCCGTCCGCCCGTTGCCCTCCGCTGCTGCAGGATCACCTGAGCCACGCTGTTGCAGATGATCCCGACCAACAGGTTCATGAGCACCTGGGGTGATGGTAAGGTAGGAGGCTCAAAGGGGTGTGAAGGCAGCCGTGTGGGCAGCACGTGGGAAGGAACAGCCCATCAGGCTCAACGCTGCGCAAAAATGCGAAGCGGGTCCACCGCGAGCAGCTGCAGGGACGGGGGCGGGGCGGCGTGCCCGGCGGCCCCGCCGGGCGCCGCAGTCCCCACCATGCTCATCGCGAACTGGAAGACGAGCGACAGCAGCATTGCGGCGGCCGGGTTGTTGCTGTCGAGCATGGTGCTCAGGTCCACCCCTGGGCGGGCGGCACGCGCGGGCGGACGCAGCAGGGCTCAAGGTTTGGGCGGGCATGAGGTGGCCTGGGACGGAATCGAGGACGGCTTACTCCCTACTCTTAATCCGAAGGTCAACCCTCTGTGCCAGGTTTTGGCTTGCCCGGGTCTGCATGGCTTCGCCCAGCTTGGCGTCGGTTTTGGGACACTTGAGCCTCCAGGGCTGGCGAGCCCTCGCCCTCCAGGGGCGCGCAGCTGGCGCAGCGGCAACGGCGGCGCTCACCTCCCATCGCGTAGTTTAGCACTGTCAGGAGGCTGTGGCTGATGTCACTGAATTGCTGCGGGGGTTTGGGTTTGTCGCGTTGGGTGGGGTGGGGTACGTGGGTGCAGGGAGAGGCCAAGGGTGCAGCGTTTGTGAGCGCCGCACATGTTACTGGCGTCATGTGACAGCAGAGGCAAGGGCGTCCAGACCTCATTCACACGACGACTCCTTGCCAGACGCCCTCGCCAGCCCTCTCACCCCGGCCTGCACACCAAATGTGCACAGTCTGATTTGCAGCCGTCGCTTGCCCCAGAGCGCCTCTCCCTGAGAGCCCAGCGACGGCCGGGCCAAGCGCCGCGCCCCTCAAACCCCCTCCCTGAAGCCACAACCCTTCAGCCCCACCAGCGGTACCCCACCAAACACCAGACACGTACATACACATCAACATGCTGGCACGACAAGCCAGCCCCCTCCCCACACAAGCCAGCCCCCTCCTCGCTGAAGCCAGCCCCCATCCCTTTGGCCC